ACAGCTGTACTTCTTAACCATTAATGGATATTGGTAGTTGGTTTTCCTCTTGGTAGAGCATAATAATACAAATCGTGATGTTTTGCATATTTCTACTTAATACATAAATCTCTCAGTTCCAAAGTTTCCAATAATAGAAAATGGCTCAATTCTCTTTGAGCAGGGGTAATTGTTCTGTGATTTCTCCTCATCATTTCTCTTCTCCCGCACCCCTCCTATTTAGATTATAACTACACAGGGATCTGGAAAGATGTGCTTCTTGTCCTTACCTTGTAATTTCCTGTAGAGAAGGTTGCCCTGATTCTTACACTGTAATCTAATCACTTGCTTAGAGGAGTAGGTATTTCTTAAAGGTGATTGATTAGCCTTTTAGGTGGTTGTCTCTGCCAGGCGTTTCCCGCCACATGCCTTCCTTTGATCTCTACTTCTGTTCCAGCCAAGTGTACTCCTGCTTTCTCCCAATCACGCCATTTCCATAGCACTTAACTACACTTTCAAGATGTCAAGACTTCCCATAAGAGTGTGGGCTCTATTTGTGACAGCACGTACACATATGTGAGCACACTGACAGATGAGATCTGACCAAGAACAATGAAAACCTTAATTGAACGCACCCAAGTTAATTTTAAAACCCATCAAGTTAACATGGCCTTTCTTTTTAATTTAGTAAATGTTTTAGGCTACTACGTTTTAACTCAGCTAATATAATAAGAGTTCCTCAAATTCAGTTGAACTCGCTTTTTTTCCAATTCACTGAAAACATTTTTATTCAACTATTGTTTTAGACAACTAATGAACCTTTTCTCTGTGGTTCCTTTTTTTTTTTTTTTTTGCAGATTAGCTGATTTCAATATGTTGCCCTTATTTGTATAATTGCTCTTATTAGTTCTTCTTTGTAATCCACCTTTCATTCTTTTAGGCAGACACTGGTTGCTTTGTAATTTTGAACAAAAAAAAAAAAAAGAAAGAAAGAAATGGCATGTCAACATACCTGAAAAGAATGTATATCAGCAAAATTACTCTTAAGTGAAATCTTGTATGCTGTAAACTGTTTTTCATAGACTGTCATATTGAAACCTAAACCCCGGCAAATACAGAAGTCTTCTCACTATTGGTGCTGCAGAATTCATTTATTTAACACTGAATGATGTTTATTGACTTCTCCCTCTGTGCCACTATAGTTTCCAAGGCTGAAGCTCTCACAGTGAACCAGACAGAGGAGAACCTCACGCATTGCCAGACGCATTCAAACCTGGGTGGCAGTGGAGATGCAGACAACAGTCAAATGCACACACTGTAGAGATGGCAGTTGATTTCAAGACTCTTTTCTATCCTCTATCATTGTGTCAAGGCCACTTTTGAAAATCTGTTACCTCCGGTGTTGAACTGAATTTAGACTTGTGATGCCCATGGCCTTCATCTAGTAAGAGGTGTGTAAGGCTCTCATCTAGAAGAGAGGGGAGAGGTGCCTTCTCTTCTCTGCTACTCAAGAGATGCCTACACGGGAAATTTTCTCATTGCTAAATTGCAACTGAATGCACTTTATTTAGAGTATTTTAAAGGTGGAGATGCATTCACTCAGCATTTCTTGAACACTGTATCTGTGAAAGTTTTATTTATAGACATTACAATTACTTGCTTACCCTGAAGTATACCACTCAAATTAGAAGCACAGATACATAAATAATTTACTTGTCAGTTTTATAATAAAAATGTATCGTGTATAGGGGAAATGAAAGCAGTAACTAATTCTACTTGGGGAAAGGCTTTTCTAAAAGGCAACCTCTAGCTGTCACTTTTGTTTTGTTTTGTTTGGGGGGGTGGGTATTTTTCGGGCATACCTGGTGATGCTCAGGGCTAGTCCTGTCTGCTCAGGAGAGTCCCTGCTCAGAAGTCATGTATGATGCCAGATATTCAAACCAGTGTCCGCACCTTGCAAGGCAAATACTTACCTCCTGTGCTATCTCTTTGGCCCCACTCATCTTCCTATGAAAGGTGATGGAAATAGAGCATGCCAGGTGAGACTATCTTCTGTGAACCAAGTGCAGTTGTAGCCACTGTATCCATAGTTGTAAACAACACATAGTTCCTGTTCTGTTTTCAACAGGAAAAGAGACAATGAACAGACAAGTAAATGCATTATGATACTTGCTCATACCAGAAAAGTCGGCAGATTAATAAAAGAGAATGGCAGAGAGTACTGTTTGAGAGAGGGTGATGAGGGGAGGCCTTTCTGAGAGATGACATATGAGCAGATCCCAGCATGGTGTGGAAAAAAACAGGACCAAGAATCAGAGGACTCCATTAAGGACAGCAGGGATAGCATGAATAAGGGCATCATAGTCATGAGAAGCTTGACATCTGAGGGCGGGAGGGAGTTAGAAAATGCCACTGAGGAAAGTATAATGGCATTTTCTTCTTAAATAGAGTAAGATGAAATCCAGGGAGCTGACATGCATGAGTGTGGTGGGTGAGGATAGGCAAGGAGAAAGGGAAGGAGAAACCAAAGCGCGGGAAACCAGATGGTCCCTGCTCTGGAACTTATGTGCCCACATGATTGCCTGGGGTAAGATTTCAGTGCTGGATCTTGGGGTAAAAAAGTTTAAGAGGGACGCCTATTTCCCCCTGGCGGCTCGGTGGCCGTCATCCTTCAGAGGCCATTGGACAGTCAGGTTTGGGCCCACAGTGACAAGACATTTTGGGCCTCACAGAATGGGGATGGAGCCGGTCCTGTCCTCCCCACCCCAACGAGACCCCCAAGTCATCACTCACGAACGGCCTTTCTGGCTCCTGATCAAGCTGCTTAACGGCCATGATCCCAGAGACTCAGGAGCAGACCTTGGAACCCAGCAAGTTTTGGCAGAAATCCCTCCAGATTTAAGTGTTAAAATTTCGGAATTTCAAAATCGCGCGGCCACTACTGTAGCCATGTGACATCGTATATTATTCATAACCAGCAATAGAAAACAGATTGTCTACTGTTGCCTTTTCAGCAGATCTGAGTGTTGGGGTAAAATCCCAAATAATAATGGTGGGTCTGGTGTCGAAATATTGAATGAGATCAAAGTAGAGAGAGAGTAATGTGGAAACCATCTGCCCCACAGGTAGGGGGAGGGTGTGGGATGGGGGTATACTGGTGTTGTTGGGGCTGGAGAATGAGCACTTGGTGAAGGTATGGGCGTTTCATTGTATGACCAAGACTTAGACCCGAAAGCTTTGTAACTGCTCTCACGGTGATTCAATAAATGAAATTATAAAAAAATTTTTTTAAAAAAGTAAGGTGGAGTTCATGCACAATTCAATCAGCTAACCAGTGGCTGAATAAATAGCAGTACTCCTACATTAAAAAAAAAAGTTTAAGAGGGAAATGGCATGGTTAAATTTTTGGTTTTGGCTAGCTTAGGTTGGGTTTGGATTGATTTCATTCTTGAAAAAAAATTTCTATTAACAGTATGCAAGATGAAAAAAGAAGCTATCATGTGAGTGAGAAATTATTGTGGGCTAAATTAAGATAATCACTGGATATTATTTAGATGTCTTGCATCTATATAACATCTGATACATTATAGCTAAAAAAAATAGAAGAAAAAAGTCAAAAAACAATATTCTGGGTTTAAACTTGGAGATTGAGTGTGGAATGATGCCATAACCAGGCCCAGAAGCTCTGGAGGAGAGGCAGACATAGAAATGCAGATATTGAATCTGATTTGGAGCACTGAGAAATATACACCTGGGCATTAGAAGAAAAAACGGCTAAAATAAATATTCACCTGTACCAGAATTTCATGAAAAATGTTTAAAAGAGAGGAAGGGAACCAGAAAAGGACTTAGAATAGTTCAGTGGGATGAAGATTTTTCAAGGGCCACTGAATTTGGCCCATGGAAAGCCACTGATAACTTCAAGAAGACCTGGGCCTGTAGGTTGGGTGAGGCAGAGCTAAACGAAGGTTGAGTTGGAGAGTTAAATAAGTTGGAGATTATCCAATCATGGTCACTGCCTTCCCTGCTTTCAAACAAAACTCTTCCCTGGATGACTTGAACGGATAATCAGAACTTGCTATTCCCCATCTCTCAACTTTCTCCACCCGGAGCCTAGAGTTGGTTGTTTGATCTAAGTGACCTAATGGAAGAACGGATGTTCTGATGGGTCTCGAATTGAGGAAGGGCCAGGGAGAGGAACCTAATTGTGGCGGGGAGGCCTACTGGGGAGCAACAGGATATGCCCATCCAGAGTTCTGTATCCAGAGAGAGAAAGAGAGAGAAATACAAAATTCCTAGTTGTCTGTTGTATACTGCTCTTGCAAGCTGAGTTAAGAGGGGAAACGTGGGATCAGTCAAGAAACTGGACTCCGTAAAATATATAAAAAAAAAAAAAGAAAGAAAGAAAGAAAATGGAATCTAGCCAAATGTGGGGGTGGGGGATAGAATCTGATGGTAAACTGATATTAACTAGAAATTCAGACAGAGATGCTGAGGTTTCTTAGGTCACGGGGACTGGAGATGCACCCAGGAGCATGTTGTGGCCGTAAGGTCCTTGTGATCACCAAGCTAGCAGTAAGGGAGGGGCTCGTGAATGGAGCAGCGCCCAGCAGCCTCGTGTTGAAAAGCTCCTTGTACAGTCAGGAGCGTCAGATAATGTGATGGGAAGGGACCAGAGACTAGCAGTCCCAAAGAGCTGAGAATAAATGCCCCGCGTCCCCGATGGTAGAGAGCGGGTGGAGCTGTCGACTGAGGCATCGCCGACAGAGTGGAAGCGCAGACCCCAAAAGGAAGACTTGCACTCTCCGGGAAGTTGGAAGCAAAGTCCGGCCTGGGGGGTCCCGCACCGTTAGCTTCGGGGACCACGGGAGCATCAGCACCACCCCGGCTCACAGGGCCCTGGTCTGTTCCTCCGCCCACCGGGGGGCAGGGCTCGAGGGCGAGGCTGGTGGCTGTTCCGAGGCCTCGAGAGTCAGCAGTTCCTACCAGACTCCCAGCTCTGGGTGCTCTGGTCTTCGCCGATGGCCAGCCACCGGCCGCCGGACCTCTACCCCCGGCCCAGCAGCGGCGGGGGCGGGCGCGGGGTCCCAGTGCCGATGCGGGTTGACCCTCCGCTGCGGCTGAGCGGCCCGACCAGCCCTGGCAAGCTGGTGGTCCGCCCGGGGGTCCTGCCAGGGCTCCCCGGGGCCCCTGAGATGTGGGCGGTGCCCCTGGCCCCGCCGCTGTACGAGTTCCAGGGACAGGCGGGGCCCTGCGGCGCCCTGGTCAGGGTCGGCGAGGTGGGGGCCGGCTTCCCGGGCCCGTCGGACGGCGCCTTGCCCGGCCCCTGCGTCGTGGTGCGGTGCCTCCCCAGGCGGGCGCTGCCCGAGGACGGGGGCGGCATCGGCAGCGTCGAGAAGGAGCTGGGGCAGCTGGCCCGGGAGCTGAAACTCAAGCGGCTGACCCTGGGCTACTCGCAGGCCGACGTGGGCTTCGCCGTGGGCGCGCTCTTCGGCAAGGTGCTCAGCCAGACCACCATCTGCCGCTTCGAGGCCCAGCAGCTCAGCCTGGCCAACATGTGCAAGCTGCGCCCGCTGCTGAAGATGTGGCTGGAGGAGGTGGCCAGCGAGAACCTGCCGGGCCTCTGCAGGATGGAGATGATCCTGCGGCAGGCCCGGAAGCAGCGGCGGGCCAGCAGGGAGAGGCGCCTGGGGAACAACCTGGAGAAGCTCTTCCTGCAGTGCCCGCGGCCCACCCCGCAGCAGATCAGCAGCATCGCCGGGCAGCTGCGCCTGCAGAAGGACCTGGTCCGCGTCTGGTTCTCCAAGCGGAGCCGCATGGGCAGTTGGCCGGCCGAGGCCTTCCTCCCGCCCGAGGAGGTGGGGGCGGCCCCGCTCCCTTTCCCGGGGGGTCCCGTCTGCTTTCCCCTGGCCCCGGGGCTCCATCTGCCCTCCTGCCCCTACGGGGGCGCCTTTTTCACACCCTTGTACCCCTCCGTCCCGTTCCCGGTCGGGGGAAACCCCGCCGCCCCTGTCCCCTCCCTGGGCCTCCCCAGACTTTCAAATTGAGGGACCTGCCCCCGCTGGGGAGGGCCAGGCTGGAGAAGAGCAGCCCTGGCCGCCTTGCTTTGGGGTGTTACAACATTCAGTTCTCCCGTTCGAGCTGCGGAAGAGCGTTGGGGGTGGGCGTGGGGGGTTATGAAATTTGGGAAGGGGAGTTGACCTGTATTTGTGCTCCGTGTGTTGAGTTTGTTTTCACCTTGCGTTGCATTTAAGGTACCTTGTAACACAGAGATGGTTGTGAATATTCTGTTTATCTTTTTTTTGGAAATTAAAAAGTTAGTTTTGTCCGTTATTCGTTGTGATCATCAGTAAATCTAAGGTTTAGGGTGACTTTTTTTTTCCCTTATAAACGCTCTGTTCAATGAGAATATTGAAGTCTGGAAAGCCATTTAAGGGCACCATATTTACTAAACAGGCAGAACATTGTGTAAACATGCATACGAAGTCCAGGATAATCATTGCCCCTTCTAGGGGGTAGCAGGAGAGGGTTCAGGGTGGAAGGAAGTACATGGGCCTAAACTGAAAGCTCTTGAATTTGTTTTACCCCCTTTTTCAAAATAAGATATACATTTTATATATATATAATTTTTTTTTCTTTTTCACTAAAATTTTATTTTGGTTTTTTTTTCTTTTTTTATTAGTGAAAAACCATGAGGTACAGTTATAGGCTTACAAATTTTGTGCTTGGGTTTCAGTTATACAATGATCAAGTGCCCATATAATTTTAATGTAATCGTATGTGTATATATAATTTTAATGTGATCATTATATATATAAATATGAAGAAAAGAGTACCTTTTCTTCAGAGTGTACTAACCCAAAGTGGGGGGTTCAGTTCTGCTTTCTACTTCCTGCGGTCCCCTTGGGTTTAGCCTGTCCCCCAGGGCTGTTGTATTTTAAACCCCATTGTTCCTGAGATCAGCAAACTGGACAGCAGGAGCTCAGCCTCCTCTCCAGCTAAATACTCTGGTTTTCAGCTCTTTTAAGCTTAGTGCCGGGGGAATTTCCTTTACTTTCCTTTAAGCCCTGATGTATTGGGGGGCGGGGGAGTTGTTTTTAAGCTCTGGTATTGTGAGGGTTGATTCAGTATTCCCTGGTGAGTTTTGCAATGATACATCTTAAATCACTTTTCCAATTTCTTCTTTAAAATTGGTCTTTTCCAGTTTTCTACTTCTACATTCATCTGTTTTGGTCCTTCCATACTAAGCAGGAATCCTTAATCCCTTATATTCTCACATCTGCCATCACACACCTGCATGTAATATGTAGTGTTTTAGAATTCGATCACTATATAAAATGAATTTAGATCTTTTTGTTGCTTACTAATCTTGTCAACTAGCTACTTTCTTCTACATTTTTCCCTTAATATATATTCTCAAGGAAATGTTGTTAATTCTATTTTTTGTTCTATTTACTACCTCTTTTATATCCTAATTTCAACATATTTTATTGCCATTTTCTAGTTTTTCTGACTTCTCTGATGGTTCTTTTTCAAATAGTTTTTAGAAGAGCATTAAACTGGTTTTTTTTTCTGGTGAAAAATCGCTCTTGGGCCAATAGCAGTTACATCCCGATATTCAGGCCCCAAGACTAGGTCTAAACATACTCTGGCATGAGACAGGCATTGTTACGGTATATATTTAGTTCCCTAAATGACACTTTCTTTAACTTTCTGTTTGTGCACATGAGGAAGAATATAATAAATAATTTGCCATATTTAGTGAATAGTTTTATTTAATATATTGGAGTCGAGCATCTTCCACCCAGATCCTCCAAATTCCAGTAGGCGGGGGTCACACCCACCACCTGGACCCCTGGCGCCGTGTAATCCCATCAGCGGCCAAGACTCAGAGACTATAAAATCCAGATCCCGGACGAGAACAGTGCAGTCTTCTGCCCCCGTGCCTGGGTGTTCCTTCCCGGGGCCCCTTGGAGGGGAGCGGGTTGAGCTTTTCTCCCCGCCCCGACCAGGACTCCGGCAGTCAAGACCTCCAGGACCAGCCACCACCATGCTGAGACCACTCTCCGCACACATGAAGGTACTGGCAGAGGGACAAAGCCACGCGGGTTCCAGGGCCAAGACCTCCAAGCCTACTCGGATTGGAGTCGAGCATCTTCCACCCAGATCCTCCAAATTCCAGTAGGCGGGGGTCACACCCACCACCTGGCCCCCTGGCGCCGTGTAATCCCATCAGCGGCCAAGACTCAGAGACTATAAAATCCAGATCCCGGAACCTTATCAGAACTTTTTTTATGACATCTTATTGTCTCATTCCTACTTTGGACAAACTTGCAGGCTATCGAATGTAGCCTGCCCACAGGGCAGAGTCTGGCAAACTCCCCATGGCGTACCAAATATGCCAAATATCAGTAACAATGATGGGTCTCATTCTCCTAAAGAGCCTTGAATATAATCTCAGGGCTAGGATGAAAGAGACGTTACTGGGGCCTGCTCGAGGCAATCGAATGAATATATTCATGGTGTTATACAGCCATCAGTACTGTCCATTTTCAAAATATTTTTATCAGTCCAAACAGAAACTATTTCAATCAAATGATAACCCTGGGCTGGAGCGATAGCACAGCGGTAGGGCTCTTGCCTTACAAGCGGCCAACATGGCCGACCTGAGTTCGATTCCTCCACCCCTCTCGGAGAGCCCGGCAAGCTACCGAGAGTATCTTGCCCGCCTGGCAAGGCCTGGCAAGCTACCCGTGACATATTCGATATGCCAAACACAGTAACAACAAGTCTCATGATGGAGATGTTACTGGGCCCACTCGAGCAAATTGATGAACAACGGGAGGACCGTGACCGTGATAACCCTCTCCCCTGCCTTTGACCCCTAGTAACTTCCAGTCTACACTGAATTTACCTGTTCCAGACAGTTCAGATAACTGGAATTTTATATTTATCCTTTTATATTTGTCTTATTTCCCATGCATAATGTTTTCAGGATTTATATGACATGTATCAGAATTTCATTCCTTTTTGTGACTAACCTATAAAATTTATCTGCTGGTGGACACTTTGTGTTGTTTTCATGCATTAGCTATTATGAATAACGTTTCTATGGGAATTAATACAAAATTAGAATAAAATTATATTTGAATCCCTGTTTATGTTTTCCTGAACATATAGTTAGTAGTAGAATGGCTGGGACAGTTGATTATTGTACATTTAGCTTTTGAGGAAATGACTATATATTTTCCACCATTTTACTTTCCCACTAGCAATGTACAGGGTTTAGTTTCTCCACTTGTAATTTTCTGAGGTTTTTTTTTTATTATTATATTAGTGCATTTATTCTAGTATACATGAAGTAATGCCCCTATTGAACATTTGGTTTCTATTTCTTTGTTATTAGGTGCTGAGTATTTTTGATGTGATCATTGGTCATGTCAGTTATCTTTATAAAAATGTGTATTCAAGTCCTTTGTCCATTTTTTAATTGGGTTGTCTTTCCTTTACATATTCTTAGTATCCTGAAATATGGTTTTAACTCTTAAATTTAAGTTTTCACTAAGTTTTGAATATTTTTTGTACTTAGGTAAGAGTTCAGATTTTTCAAAAAAATTTTGTGTATATATAGTTTTCCAGCCCCATTTTTTGAAGAGAGTGTTCTTTCTCAGAAATAATTTGACTATAGTGAGTGAACTGTTAGGCCCCGTGTTACATTCCCAGCAGTGAGGGGAATAAAAACCCCACAAAGGACAATATATATGAGCTCTCAACACAATTCATTGGTTTATATGTTTATCATAATAGCAGAACTAGCATTGTAGCACTGTCCTCCCGTTATTAGGGGGTTTTTGCTCGAGCGGACCCAGTAACATCTCCATCGTGAGACTTCTTGTTACTGTGTTTGGCATATTGAATACATCAAAGATAGCTTGCCAGGCTTTGCTGTGCGGCCAAGATACTCTTGGTAGCTTGCCGGGCTCTCCGAGAGGGGTAGAGGAATGGAACCTGGCTTGGCTGGGCTGGCTGTGCGCAAGGCACACGCCCTATTGCTGTGCTGTCACTCCAACCCTTTTTTTTTTATTACTGTAACATTGTAATAAGTGTTGAAATCAGGAAACCATGAGTCCTACAATTTTTAATTTTTTTAGTACTTTTTATTTTTAGTACTTGTAATTCCATATTTTTTTTTTGGCTTTTTCGGTCACAACTGATGATACTCAAGGGTTACTTATGGCTCTGCACTTAGGAATTACTCCTAGCTCTGGGGACCATATGGGATGCCAGGGATTGAATCTGGGTCAGCCATGTGCAAGGCAAATGCCCAACCCACTGTACTATCGCTCTGGCCCCAACTATCCATATGAATTTTAGAATAGGTGTTTCTATTCCGAAAAAAGCATCATCAGTATATTAATTAGAGAATATCTTAAATATACTTTGGGGAATACTAACATCTTAATAATAAATAATGCATGAATACAGAATGTCTTTTTATTTAAATTTCTTTATTTTTTGTTGAAAATATGTTGTTTTTGGTTTATGAGCCTTCACCTTTTTGAATAAATTTATTCCTTAATATTTTATTTGGGGATTACTATTGTAAATTAGGTTGGTTTCTTTATTTAATTTATTAGAAAGGAACCCTGAGTGGTTCTTTACTAGTGTTTATAAATATAGTTACATTTTTCTGTGCTGAAGTGATATTCTTTGACTTGACTGAAATCGTATATTGAGTATAACCATTTTGCTATGCATTCTTTGGGTTTTCATCATATAAGATCATGTCATCTGCAAATGAGGATCATTTTACTTGCTCCTTTCCTATTTGGGTTCCCTTTCTTTCCTTCTTTCTTTCTTCCTTTCTTTTTTTCTTCACTTTTTATGTAATTGTTCTGTGGAAACTTCCAGTACTATTTCATATAAAAATGTTAACAATGACAAGTAAATCCTTGTCTTAGTTCTAGTTCAAAAGATAAGTTTTCCGAGTGCCCAAGAACAGATGACTGGTTAAAGAAACTTTGGTACATATACACAGTTGAATGCT